AGATCTGCCACTTCAGGCCCCCGCCGCATTGTTCGTTATTCCACCTTGCTGCCTGTTGGTTGAAGACAGCCTGTATCATGGCGAGCCATGATGGCTTATCGTCGGGCGGATTGGTGAAGTTACTCTCGGCGGCGCGCATCGCCGTGAATGCCCAGAAAGCCTGGTCGTCGTTACCTTCGGTGCGGGTCTGGTTGGTCGGCATGAAATCGCCTTCGGAGCCGGCTTGGTGGAGGAGAGCTTGGATGATGATGTTGTTGTAGGTTGTGTCGCCTGTGTAGGACCAGTAGTTGACCAGCGTGCCGAAGAAGGCGCCGGCTTCCCACCAGTAATACGGGGAAGGGAGATTACCGGGGACATCGCCGGTGTTGTTGCCTGTGTAGAAGCTGACTAGGTCCCAGGCTAACTTGCTTGCGACCTGTTTGATGTTTTCTGGGGGGGGGGGGGGGGGTTAATTCTGATTATGGGGCTGCCTTGAGTCCGGGACTGACCTGTGTCATCAAGATTTAACTTGATTGCCTGGACTGAGTGACAGAAGTAGCCGACTAGACATAGTGTCAGACATGATAAGATGGAGTACCGCATTCCGATGGTTTGTGAGACAGGTATGCTGGTAGGTATGATCGATAATAATGTGTGGGTTGTTGCAGAACGACCTAGAAGCTGCACACGTACGTGGGACATAGCTAGTTAAGAAGCCGACAAGACTGGCTGTTTGTGAGATATGCTGACCTGCAAGACCAATCGCCAGAAGATCAGAGTGAATGGTGTTCGTCACTCCGGAGCTGTGGTGGCTGACAGGGCTTTGTCCTACTTGAACCTCATGTCTATTCACTGTCTTATCTACATACGTAGGTATTGATATTGTGTGGAGTTGTCTGCTATGTTATGTCGGTCTTTATATCAGGTTGTATAGAGATATTAGATATACTGCAGTGATGTGAAGGTATCCTAGGAATCAGACACTATAAAGAAGATACATACGTATATAATCGGTGCCTGGGTAGATATATATAGGTGGGAGTGTTTGTACTTGATACAAGACCGACCATTGACTACTTAAGCCACTGCTTGATATTCCATGCCCCTTGCATTTGTACCTTGCTCCCTCCATTGAGTAGACTATTCTCAAGATGTTCCCTAGGTAGTACTCTCCTACCTACAATCTGATTATTCTGATCTTCACCCCGATTGGGTTTTGCAGACAAAGAGATTCTCTATCTTATCGCACCGTTGGAGAATGTGGGGAGCGGACACTGCAGGATGAGTCAACACAAGTATCCATATGCTCCACTCAACCCTGGCAATATTACTCCCCCGGTGGTCTTCCTTCTCCCGCCATGGCAATTGCAAATGCACGCGTAATTTTTCTTGATCTTCCCTGACTTTTCCTAATAAAGATAATGGACTATGAGCAACGTCCTAAGCGCACGTCTAATGCGTTCGTTTAATCTACCTTCTTCCCGCCCCCACTTGGCTGATTGATTCCCCGCAGTTGCCAACGCTGTCGTTCCCGCAAAGTCAAGTGCTCCGGCACTCAACCGTGCGACAAATGTCGTCAGCGATGTCAGGATTGTGTGTTTGAGGAGGACCGGAAGATTGTGGTGTCGGAAGAGTGGGTTACTGGTTTCTTGACAAGGAGCGCACTGCTGATGAAATAGGCTGTTTCGATCGCTAAAGCGGAAGGTCGAGGAGTTGGAGAACTCTCCAGCTCCAGCTTATAAGAGAAGAAGTAAAATATCGAAACACGATGGGGTTGATTTGTCCACAGAGGGTAGGCTCATTGGGTTCTCGCGATCGTTTCTCCGTCTCAATGTCCCGCAGTGCACACACCGGAAAACCCCAGAGAATCGACCCCACACCGCCACGAGAGCAACCCGCATGACGAGCGGTTCTCATCCAACCCCTTGGTCTCCCCGTCCTATCTGAAAAACGAACAGCCCCGAAGAAAGACGTGGTGTAGGTGATGGGTCTTCTGTCCTTCGACCAAGGGGTTAACTCGTCGCAGTGTTTCTCGGACCCACCTCCACCTGGTCCTACAGTCGCCGCGTCCTCTCCGTGATCCAGGACCGACTCTACCCCAACAAGATCGAGCCGATCCCGCTGGCCGTCGACGGCGACGCGTACCAAATACATTGGCGACAGGCGAGCTCGGAGGAATTGCCCGATATCAGCGGGCTACCGTCACTCGAGCACGCGCTGTACATAGTCAACACCGTGCAATTCCATTTCGGCTACCTATACCGACTGTTCGACGAGAAGGAATTCCTGCGCAACCTCCACGAGTTTTACGACAATGCCGGTGCCAAAGTACACGAGACGCGCCTCTGGTACGTGCAGTTCTTGGTCATCCTCGCCTTCGGAGAGGCATTGCTGGTGCCCATGCGCAAAGCGTCCAGCACCGCTACCTGGACAAAACTGTTCTCGAGAGCCATGTCCCTGTTACCGGATATCACCGGGCTGTGGCAGAACCCGATCTTGGCCATTGAGGTTCTGACGCTGATAGCCCTCTATTTCCACTCGGTGGACATGCGGGATACTGCGTACTGCTATGTGAGTGTTGGATCCGTTGTGTCGTGACATCACCGACCTGACCATTTAGATTGGCCATGCCATGCGCATGGCTCTGGTCGAGGGTTTACACCGTGCCCCTCCGGTGGAGCAGCTAGGACAGGAACTAGTCGACCGGTGCAACAATATCTGGTGGACCGTGTATGTATTGGACCGGAAATTCGCAGCGTTGATTGGATCGCCCTACTCGGTCAATGATGCGGAAATCACCACCGTTTTGTGGGATCCCCGGACTTGCACGCAGAAGGAGGCTGCCTTGAGTCTGCATGTCAAGATCTCACAGGTGATCACTCGGGTGCTTGGAAGTATGCTCACCACAACCTTGAGGCACGATAACGACATCTTCTGACTGACTCAATTGCAACAGCGGTGTATAGCCCAGATGGAAAACTAGGCGGCGTGTTCCTTCGAAAGCTGCGATCGGTACTGCACGAGATGACGGATCTATCCCGCGAGCTTGATGCCGTGTTTGCTCGTCGCTTCTCTAGCTCCGTAGATGCCATTTCAGGAGTCACCACGCGCTTAACTATTTCTTGCCACCTGGTAAGCCTCGAGGTCTCCCAGGTAAGATAATGCATCTAACAAAATAGTGCATCATCGTAACCACACGACCGCTCGTCCTGAGTCTCCTATGGGAGCGACTTAGCTGCTACGAAGCAGGCGAGCCTTTCCGAACTCTATCAGCACCCGTTCGGACCCTCCTCGAAGCATGCGTCGATTCCGCGACGAAGTCACTACGGATCCTGCTAGCACTACAGGACCACAATATCCTCCGTTCGTAACCGCCTGGACAGTCAATAGAAGCAAAGCTGACTCTACTAGAATCCTTCCTCCCATTTGACCTCGAAAACCTCTTCTCCTCCTTTTTCATCCTATCGGTAATATCAGCAATCCTCCCCGACACCCAGCCCGACCCTGATTTCAACTACCGAGAGATGGGATTCAGTCTGCTCGACGATATGATCTCCCGCGGTAATCGCGTAGCCCAGCTGCGGAAATCGGAAGTCGAGCTGTTGGAGGAGCTTATCCAGCCGCTGGTGCAGGCGTCGGCTCAGCCTGTTGGATCTGAAAATGATGAAAGGTCCCAGACCCCGGGGATCAATGCAGTTCCAACAGTGAGCAGTGTACTACCTGCGGCACCTCTCCCATCTGTGGATATAAATCAGGAAGAAGACCTCAGCTTCGATTGGCGAGATTATGGGTTGTCGCTGGAATACATGTTCTCGGTGACCGATCAGCTCAACGCGAATAATCTTGTTTTGGATGCGGAGAGAGAGGGACTGCAGAATGATTTGTGGCTGTGGAGTGATGGGTAGTGATCAACAAGAAAAAAAATTATATAGACGATGATATCCTGTTTGTTCATCGGGTTTTGCTTTCAATTAAGGTTCCGGGTTGCCTTTATGTTATTGGGTTTTTCAGTGAGACGGGTTAGCGGGAGGGAAAAATGGATTGCAACTTGCGATATCCCTGCATTCGCCATTGGGTGGGATGTAACACTGTCACACGCATGTAAACACACAGTGGAATTCTTTTGGAGTGGTTTCTCATTCGACACTGGCAGAAGAATCTTTCATCAAGACTGTAGCTGAGCCCCCAAATGCTAGTACTGGAGTTTAGACTAAGCTGCTTTTCAGTAGTGTCAATGAACAACTCCTACCTTAGAGAAATATGAGTATGACTCCCGGATTAACGCACCATAGTCTGAAGAAAACAATCACGTCGCAGACACGGCTTCCACGGTGAGATTATTTGTCTGCCTGTTAGGGAAGACATTCCCGGCCAAGCCTCGACCTCACCCTGCGGGCACCACGTTTACGTCCCAGTCCCATCCAAGCGTTCCACTTTCAGACCTAGTCAGGAGTAAACAAGTCACCTCCTAGATTCTCTAATTATTGATCGACCCCGCCAGAGTTAAACATAGCCAATGCCAGAGTTCCGTCTTGAAGCCCAGACCATATGGGTTACTTGCAAGGGGTGACTTTGGAGGAATTTGGCATGCCTTCATACATTCCCGGCCTGGAAAACAAGAGAATCATCAACAATGGTTTGATATTGAAATTCCAGGGCGGGAAGATGGTGTATTTATTACCGCGATCTGCCAGATTTTCTCCCACATGGTGTTCGATGGTCAACTCACTTGCTGGATCGGCACTGCGATGTCTACTGCGACCTTGAGAAGATTGGATCTACTCTACACTCTATAGCGAGAATGCCTATAGTGTGCACATGTAGTTGACGCGCTACTTTGTTCATTTCGGGACATTCAAAACCGCGTGGATTGGCGTGCTGATATACCAACAAGGTCTTTTGCGACGTGTGCATACTGCCCTAACAAGCGCTTCCTATCTCGACACCCCAGCTCGACAGCCATTCGCTACTCGCGACCTTACAGTTACTTCCCATCTGCAAAGCAGCAGAAATAGACGAAGATGCAGTGGAAGACCTTCCTTTTCCTCGTCGCCGCCAATGTAGCGCTGGCACGCATGCAAGGCCACGAGCGACGCCACGACACCCACAAACATGCCCACCATGCCTCGGAGGTAGGAAACCTCGAGGCGTGCGGGAGGACTGAGGTAGTGATCAATGTCAAAACCGTCACTGTCTACACGACCATATCCGGGGATCCGCCTGCAGAGCCCACTACAACCTCCATCCCGACAACCACCGAGCCGGCCCCAGCGCCAACGACAACAACACCCACCCAGCCAGAGCACCCTGAAACCAACCCCAAGCCGGATCAAGCCCCCAAGCCAAGCCCTGACTGGAAAGAACTCCCCCCAAACGACAATTTCACCACCGCCGGCTTCGGCGCCCGCACAATCGACACAAGCGGAAGCCGCGTAACCTACCGCGGCAACATCGGTGACCCATGGGGCAGCAACATAATCAGGATCCCTGCCACATCAGCCTTCAACTATAAATACGTGCTCAAAATGACACGCGGCAGCGACAGCCCCAAGCCCTGGACAGTAGTCTTCTGGAACAAAGTCGGGCCCTCAGGCCAACTAGACGGGTGGTACGGGCACTCAGCGCTAACATTCACACTGGAGGCACACGAGTCCGCATACGTTGCGTTCGACGAGAACAGCCAGGGAGCGTGGGGCGCTGCGGAAGGCACTCAACTACCGAAGGACAAATTCGGCGGGTATAGCTGCACCTGGGGCGAGTTCGATTTCGGGAATGCGGAGAACGGGGGGTGGAGTGGGTGGGATGTTAGTGCGATTCAGGCGCAGGAGGCGGGGCAGATGGTTCAGGGGATGAGGATCTGTGATCATGCTGGGAAGAGGTGTAGTTATCTTACTGAGGGGGCGAGGGAGGTGGTTAATGCTTATACGAAGGGGAAGAAGTTGGTGGATGGGTTGGGGGGGAATGGGCCTGGGGGGGCGGTTAGGTTGGAGGTGCTTGTTGATTATAGGGAATAAGTATGTTTTTGATATCCTTTTTTGTTTTAACATTGTTGTTTTTCTTGAGACTAGGGGTTTGTTGTGTCATTGTGAGTAATAGGATGTCACGACCTTTGTCGTGCAGCATATAGCTCTATCCAGTGATTATGAAGACGATGACTTTGAAGTCGCTGATTATCGTTGGAAACGGTGAGATAATAGAGCAACTGGATGACCCTGATGTTTAGTTTGCCTATCTGGAATTGCCACTAGTAGGCTGTGAGCAAGGCATTGAGAGTCATCAACAATAGCACAAACAGGACGACAAGCGGGGCTCTCAAGCCAATACATCCCTTCACCAGTTCTACACCTTGTCCACTGTCGTCTGGTCGTTCTTCTTTACCCAATCATCCACCCCCTCGATCAGCGCTTTTGTAAACTCAGCATCATAACGCCTTCCATCTTCCCGCCCGATATTCGCCATTTTCCAAGCAGCCCATTTCGTCGCCATGACCCCCTCCGGCGCGCGAAGAATCCCAACAGACACATCCAAGATATGCGGCCGATCAACGCAACCATAGAAAACAGTCGCACCGCATCGACCACAAAAAGACCGGAGCACACCCTCGCTAGACTGATAGGTCTTCGATGTCCCGAGGGCCAGATTCTCCTCAGGGCGAGGGGACATATGATCAGTAGGGACAAAGACCCAACCCGCGAGATTAGCACCATTGACGAGCCGACAGTCGTCGCAGACTTCAATCACGGCATGCCACTTATGTGCCTCTCCCGGCGGGACCCAGTAGCTGTTTGCGGGATCTTCAGTAAACTCTTTGCTTGGGCGAGCGATGTCGAAGGAGACGCCGCCGCAGTGGCATTCCGCGCGCAGGACCTCGTTCTCGTATCTTTCAACTGTCGCTTGTTTCTTGGACGAGATACTCGCTGGGTCATGGGAGACATGGAGTCGATGGGGCCCCACATGTGGGAGCAATCTAGCGAGGTCGCCCGAAGGGGCAGACGAGGCGAATATGTGTTCGTTGATCTTCCAGATTGCGTCGTCGCGATTGGCGTCGAATATAGCGGACGAGATGACCCAGACTGAGTCCTGACAGCCGATGTTGCAGCCGCATGTTGAGCAGAAATATCCAATTGAGTGGCCCTGGGGATGGGTGTAGGGAGTGAGGTTGCTCATGGTGGACGGTGAGATGAACTCGGGCTCTACGCCCTCGGGAAGGTTGGCATGGAAGGTGCAGAAGGTACCATGGGTATAGCGGCATAGGCTGCAGTGGCATAGGTGGACATCTAGGGGTAAGTTGGCCTTGGGTATGGTGATGTTAAAGTGGACATCACGACAGTGACAGGCAGCTGTGAGGGTTTTGGTGTTGGTGGATGACGCCATGCTGGTTCTTGATCGTTGATGTTTACCTGACCTTTGATAGTAACAGATGTTGGAATGAGCGAGGCAAGAAGAGGTCTAATTGACTTGTTATATATTCATTGATTGGAGTCAATGAAAGGGCGCGGTGTCAGGTGATATCAGACGTCTAAAAGAGGGGCCTTGCTCGTATTCATTTGTTACCGACGAGTAACCCCGCCATCTTGATATTATTATATAGCATCTACCGTTGCAGTAATAACACAGCGCTTCTCAATATCATGCTAATAACATGCGAGTAAAGTCTCAACTGGACCGCAGTTGGTTCACGTCTATCCATCCTCCTATCCAGACTTATTCACTTCATCCAAGGCCCGAGAACTATCACTCTCTGACTGTCGACTACACATCCAATCGTCAGTACTTTCCCACACTGGTCTAAATGATGCTATACTTACAATGTTTCCGCGGCATCCCTATCAATTTCCGCAAGCTTGGCACAGTTTGAATGAACTCGGGCAGCGGCTTCCTGGAGATCCCGCAGAACCACCCGGGTCACATCCTGTATATCCTATCAGCGGGTGTATAAAAAGACGCCGGAGTTTGATCCGTTGCTGCCATACCGCGGATGCACCGCCCTGTCCTTGCGATGAGTCGCTAGTGGAGTGAATGAACTGGTCAAGTCGCTTCGAAATCTCTAGGCACTCGCCTGCATCGCGTTTCTGCGAGGGAAGAGCAGCTGCCATAGCAGCCGCCGCAAACACGGTGATGGTGGCGATCTTCATTGTGATTATGGTGGGTATTGTTCGAGCTCGGACGATGCGGTAAGTGCAATGTGGGCTGGACTGAACATTGGAGCAGATCGAGCTTGATGAACGGGGTATTTATATTCTTTGGCTGAATGGTCTACACGTGAGGTGCTCCACGATGCGGCTCTTGGATGCTTTCAGCACTGGAAAGAAACAAAGAGAAGATCCACGAGTTTAGACAGCTCATGTTCTCAAGCCATCAACTCAGCCGCCACAAGGCCTGGATATGAATGTAGGCTGTCCACAATATATACCAGTCTATCCACTTGGTGCGTGCCTCGTAGCGCATCTGTTCGTATTCCGAGCGCCATACAGGTCACAAACAGCAGATGATGATGCTGGGGGCTCCTGATTGGGCGCTTTGCTGTGGCTTGAACAAGCCCTTTTAGATCCTTCCAATCACCGAGGCTTGGATGAGCTGTTTCCTCATCACAAATGGAACTAGTAGTTTGAATACGACAGGCCTTTGTTCCGCGGCCTTAAAAGGATGTTTTTTGACTGGATCATGTCTAATTTTATATATTCGGGAGTACTTTTGGGCTGATAGATGACTTAGCAAAGGTCCGTGATGAGTTGTTTGTTGTCTATATGACTGCAATAATGCTTTCTGATATGAGTGCATTACACGTACCCTATTATTCTCAAGCGCAGGTTTACTTGGACTTTATCAGTTTTGATCTAATTATTTGGCCTATTCAGAGTAGCCGAAAAATGCTTCATCAATAAACAAGGTCATGTCAATACACCGGATCAATCACCAAATGTACCTCCATAACATCAGTCAACGTCAAGCTACAACACCAACGCCATCAAAAATCCGTCGTGCCCCTTCGCCCCCACAGTCTGCATCAAAGACGCATCGACCCGACTGTCTGCACCAACCTTGTCCACCAACGAAACAACCTCTTTCTTATCCGTTCCTGGACCCACAATTCCAAACCTCCTCATGGCTCCGACGGCATTATCCACGTAGACGATACTACCCTTATTAGACAGCCGAACCCCATAGTCAAAGTACGGCCAGTGGTTCTCCCAGTCGGCATCAATGAGCACGAAGTCAAACCTGGGCCGTTGTCCCTGCTCAATCTCTGCCTCGAGCTGCGGCAACACGTCCAGAGCAGACCCGAGCAACACTTCCGCTTCATCGGGGACACTGATCCCGGCGTTGCGGATATTCTGAATAGCGAGCTCTTGTCTGTCCTTGAGAATCTCAATACTGGTCACTTTGCCCCCCTGTCCTCGTTGTCTGAGAGCCTTCGCAAAGCAAATAGTGGAGTAGCCGCCCAGAGTGCCGATCTCGAGGACGTTGCGGGTCCCCGATAGTCGCGTCAGCAGCGAGAGGAACTTGCCCTGTGCTGGGGAGACGGCTATCTGCGGTATTGCGTGGCTGTTGCTGGCGTTGAGGGTATCTTTGAGGTCCTGGGAATTGGGCAGGAGGTGGGGTTCCGCGTAGGAATCGACTTCCGCGGCGAAATCGAGGACGGTTTTGTCGGACATTGTGAAGGGAAGACGGGTGACCGCTTTTGGTTGGCCGAACTTTGATTGGGAAGAAGTTCCGAGGATTTTGGGATGCATTTGACCAAGACGCGTTATTCGAGGGGCTTATATAGAGTCGGTCTGGCGATGACGTCGGTAGTGATGTCCGAGTTGTTCGGACATGCTCGGTCATTGCTGCTCATGCATGGCCGCTGCATCTGAGCGTTATCTCCGACAGACTAAGGTGGACATGGTTGTTTCGAAAGACACAACTTAGAAGCAAGTGGCGCTCAGCCATTCCACAACGCAGCGATGGTCTGGACAAGGATCTGATGACGCAGATGGATCTTGAAAGTTAGAATTGTTTAGCATCCATCTGGGATAGTCTGTGGCAGATTGATAAGATCGGATCCAATGAAGCCTTATCGCCGAAGTGCACGTGCCTTCTCCGACCACAACTCCGAGAGGGGTTCAGTCTCGGACTTGACCGTCTCTTTCTCCTACTCAACCATCAAATTTGGGTCTCGTTCATATCAGATCTTCCCCTTGCGAGATCCCTTGCGGCGAAATTCTCGGGAATATTACCTCCGAACATGGACGATCATCAGCCGACGACTCCCACCGTACAACATTCAACCTGGATAGCCCGTCGCAGGCGAAAACCCCTCTCTTGTACACTCTGTCGCCAACGAAAGCTGAGCTGCGACCGAGAGCGCCCAGCTTGTAGTCGGTGTCGAAATGCTGGACGCAGTGACTCATGTACATATGGAGAGAGGCTTCTGAATACAAGCAGAAAGGAACGTTCAAGGTCGGGGATAAGCGAAGAACCGCGGCTGGAACCTCCGTCTCCGATTCGCGGTGACATCCCTTCTTCCTCTGCTCAACCCCTATCAGCCGTCGTGGATGAGAATATATTGCCTTTACCAGCTCCAAGTCCAACGCGAAACAATCTTTCATGGGGGCTTCCGGCTGCTCATGTCACGGGGCCCGTTGTGGGTTCAGCGCGGCCGGCCATTAAAGCCGACCTCACGAAGTTAAGCAGCCCCGGAGAGCCGAAATCCACCGAGGCGGTCATTTTCCGGGGACAGAATTATACGACTCAGTACTATGGGAGTACTAATCCAACCAGCTTGATCGGACATGTAAGATTGAATCATACCTCTTCGTGTTACTGACAAGGCTAATGACAATGCAGTTTCCCGAGCTCCGGTCTTATATGCGAGAGAGTATCACGCATCACCATTCCCTTGCTAGTGTTCAAAAGGAGCTGAAGGAAATAGATGTCGGGTGGATGCTTGAAAAACGTAAGTTTCCGTCGATGAAAGATGCGGAGCTGCACCTCGTGCTGCCGGACCAATCATTCATGGATGAGGCCATTGGGCTTTATTTCAAGACGTTTGAAACCACATATAGAATAGTGCACAGACCGACGTTTCAAGCGGAATACGACCGACTGAGGAAAGATCCAAAAGACGCGAAACCTGCACTTATAATCCTTATCCTATTGATGATGGCGACAGTCAGCGCCGTGCTTGAAACTGATCGAACCTATATTGGCAGTGCCAGTCTCGGTCGGGAGCGTGGTACGCTATGGATTGAAACTGCAGAGAAGTGGCTACGCCACCAAAGCAAAAAAAACATATACTTGGCAATTTGGCAGATCCGATGTCTATTAGTCGTGGCGAAACAAATGAACCGTTACAAGAAGAAACAGATGTGGTCGGTTGCCGGTGAATTAGTGAGAGACGGTATGGCAGCAGGTTTCCATCGTGACCCTGGACACAAGGTCCGATCGCCCTTTGACCAAGAGATGAGGCGACGACTATGGGCCACAATGATCGAATTGGAACTACAGGCGTCTATTGATCGAGGCATGCCATCAGCTTTAGCCGCCATTCGCATGGACTGTGCCCCACCGCTTGATGTCGACGATGAAGATCTGATGCCCGATTTCGAGCGGGCCCCAGTACCGCGAACCTCCGGGGAACATACAGCCACATCTTTTCTATGCTTGGCTCGGCAGAGCTTTGACTTACGAGTCCGTCTCAACTCGCGCTTGAATGATTTGGATGTGAGCCTGTCATACGAGGAAGTGACGAGGTACGAAGAGATGGTCCTGGCAGAACTCAATAAACTCCCCCGACCGACCGAAGTCAGCAATGCCTCGTCCGCCAGGAAAATGACCGGACTAGCGAGGACCGTTTTAGACCTCCAGCTTCGACAGTTTCTGATATCGCTGCATGCCCCGTTTGCGAGACAGGCTGAAAGTAATTCACGATATACAGTATCACGAATGGTCTGTTTCAATGCAGCTGCCAGCCTGATTGAGCAGCATTTGACCCTTCTTAAAAACAAAAATCCCATTCTTCTGCTGTTCAGAAATGACTATTTCCGGGCTGCCCTGATTCTAGCACATCACGCTTATATTTCATCGCAAATTCAAGGTATGTCCCTCTAGATGTTCTTTGCCCTTGCAATCCAGGTATCTGACAAAAGTGTAGTAGATCTCTACTTCTCGGTAAGCCATGACACAATCATGCAATTCATCCAAAAAGCCCTCTCTATGCTCGAAGACAATATCGCGTACATCGGCACGGGGTTTACGTTTCAGTGGTATATCTCTGCTGCGTCGTCCTTCCTTCGATCTCTTGTCCAGACCGAACGAGCAGCTAGCCTAAAACAAGAGGCGACAAACCAAGTTGTGAAACAGTATTATCGAGTACTTGCAAGCCAAGAAACGTTTTCTCGGGCAAAGGAAAGGACTTGCCCTTTTCATTTCCAGCAGGTAAGGTCCATTTCAAAAGGTTCGGTAACTTTGTTAACGTTTCAAAGTCAAACATGATGGGTACTCCGCCAGACCTACCTGGTGTTATTACAAACCCCACAGAGATGTCTTATATTGACAGTTTATTTTCACAGTCGCAAGTAAGTGATCTGCGTCTTTCAATGGATCAACCCATATTGACGCCCAATAGTTGGACCCATCAGATGCACCGTTTAGTCAATATTTCTTTGGTGACCCCGCCGCATGGACATTTGACAATCTATGGGGAGTTGAGTGAATCAAGAAATGACAAAAAATGTATTAGGGATGAATATACTGCGTGTTTCACAATCGATCAGATGAATCAATGTCTGGGACTCATCTCGAAGCTAGTTTTACTGAAGTACCATTCCCTCAGACGATAACATCAAGCGAAAAGCAAATCTCGTCAATAATAATGCTGCTGCTCGACTGAACAAGACCTGCGATTTGGACGTATTTCTCCGCACCTTTTACTGCCCTTAGGACTGATGGGTCGTGCATGCTAAACGAGAACAATCCAAGTAATAGCACGCCACAGCTTTACAGGCCTCGGATATTCCATGGAGAGCTAGAACTAGTCGATCTATTTACCAGTGCGCTTTTCGCGATCAAAAGCACAAATGAGCCACTTTCGCGGGGTTTGCATTGACAATCGTGGGAGAATGCCTTCTACATAGTGGACTAAATCCGTTGGCCTAATACCCAGTCATTTATCCCGATTTTTCTTTCACATGAGCAACATAAAGTCGATCATGATAAGAATTATACATATTCTCAGGATCTGCAAAATATTCTCGCTGAGAAATCAAGTCAATGAAAGCGTGTCTCGCCAAGTCTCGCCATCGTTCCCTGTTGTCGCGCAACGCTTCCCCTCCCGATGATGCCATTCCTACTGTGATGATGGAAACATCGGCCGCACCTTTGAGGTGTCGCGTAATTGACCATCATGGATTCATCTTTGACAGTTATGCTTGCAGTGTCACTGTCAAAGGTATCATTGTCATCGTTATTTCAAGCATTGACTCGAAAGGGAAACTTTATCATCGCAGGGAATGTCACTTGGGTCAGAAATCAGACATTGACTACGGCGCTCCAGCTACTAAGCACAATGCCATTTCCCACTCTGCAAGTTACATAGAAACCCATTGGCAATTAACAGACATTATTCGACGTTCAATCCTCTGATATGACTGGCTAAGAATATCACAAAGATAGGCGGTTTTTCGCAATGACCACGACCACGTTTCTTAGCCTTCGCGCGACCTGACTTCCAAAAGGCGTGCCAGGAATCGGGGACAGTAGGTCGGGGTATATATCATTCCTCGCGATATCCAAATGTTGGGGGTTCTCTTGGCCAGGTAGTTTAATTGACACTTGCCAAACCATGGCCACCAAGACGACTGTCACCACAAATCTCGTGGAGCATCCTAGCAGTAGCCCCTACGAGACCGTGGTTGATCAAAAAGGCCACACTATCGAAACCACGAAGCATGACGAGGAGTTGAGCACCGATGGGGATAACCCTTTTGCAGATCCAGAGGTCGCGGAGCGGTATGCTATCCTCTATGAAAAGGCACAGTATGAATGTCGCCATGTTTTTGATCCGACCTTGACCTGGACCCCGGAGGAGGAGAAAGCCATCGTGCGAAAGTTGGATTGGCGCGTGTGTTTATGGGCAGTATGTTCTCCCGTATTGGAACAGAGATGATGCATGCTGATATTTGGCATGATAAGTGCATCATGTTTTTTGGATTGCAGGTGGATCGAGGGAACTTGGTACAAGCCGTCTCCGATAACTTGCTGGATGACCTTAAGCTATCAACAAATGGTACGTTTTCATGCAGTTCAACTATATAATGTCATTGCTAATTGGTATTTTGCAGACTACAATACCGGCAATATCATCTTCTACGTTTCGTTTCTGTTTGCAGAACTGCCATCTCAGCTGGTGTCAAAGTTCATCGGTCCTGATCGCTGGATTCCGATACAGATTTCGCTGTGGTCTATAGTTGCAATTTCGCAGGCGGCTCTCTCTGGGCGGTCTTCGTTCTTTGCGACGAGATCTCTACTAGGAATTCTAGAGGTAATAATTGTCGCCTTGATTTCCAAGCCTTTCTAATTTCTCTCTTTGCTTTTACACCCGATCATCTGACTTATAACAGGGCGGCTTCATTCCGGACATCATCTTATGGCTGTCCTATTTTTACACCAGCCGTGAACTTCCTACGCGTCTTAGGTAGGTTCTGATAGTCTCTCTGTTACACCCTCACGCTCACATTGGGATAGCTTTTTCTGGACAGCATACGGCTTGACGACCATCATAACAGCGTTCATGGCATATGGTATTTTACACATGAGAGGCGTACTTGGATGGGCAGGATGGAGGCAAGTCTACAGTCCCAAATCTCTGCAAAGTTTAAATTCCTAACATACATTTCCCACAGATGGCTGTTTCTAATCGAGGGCCTGATCACCTTACTGATTGGTTTAGCCTCTTTCTTCAAGATGCCTGCGTCTGCAGTGGAGACCAAGAAGTGGTTTCGCCCAAAAGGCTGGTTCAACGATCGTGAGGTTAGAATTGTTGTCAATCGTGTTCTACGCGACGACCCTTCCAAAGGTATACACAAATTTGGCTTATGCAGAGAGCTCAATCAATACTAATGTACGGAATAGGGGATATGCACAACCGCCAAGCGGTAACCCCTAAACGCCTATGGAATGCCCTACGAGACTATGATCTGTGGCCGATGTACCTTTTGGGCGTAATCGTGTTCACGCCTATGGTTCCAATGAGCGCATACATCACGCTATTGCTAAGAGGTATTGGGTTTGATACCGTACGTCCACTACCTCTGTCTTTCGTATTGCATTGTTATACTAACAAAAGGCATAGTTTGTTACAAACCTCCTGACTATCCCCTCCAGCGTAGGCCACATCATCTCTCTACTCGTCCTGACCCAGATCAGCGAGCGCCTGAACCAGCGCGCTCTAGTCGCTATCTCACAATCTATCTGGACACTGCCATGCATAGCAGCATTAAGGTTCTGGCCAGATGTGATGGACAATAAGTGGGGCACTTATGCGATCATCACTACATTGCTGTGCTTTCCATACGCCCACGCTATTCTTGTCGGGTGGGTCTCGAAGAACTCGAATAATGTGGGCACACGGACTGTATCAGCGGCCGTCTACAACAGTAAGTCTACTATTGTCCAAGGAAGTCTAACTGAAAATCCTGTCTCACACGGTACAGTGTCCGTCCAATTAGGATCCGTCATTGGAAACAACATCTACCGCGAGGACGACAAGCCCAAATATCGAAGGGGTAATAGTGTTTTGCTGGCGCTGAATATCTTAGGGATAGTAGTTTTTATTGGGACAAAGGTGTATTACGTGTCGAGGAATCGATACCGTGATCGCATTTGGGCTGCCATGACGGAGGAGGTGAGTTTGGAACTGACACTATCATCAAAATCTTATATAAAAGAGACACTGACCGTATTTCCTGCAGCAACGGCTAGATTATTCGAGGAATACTACTGATACGGGGAGCAAGAGGCTGGACTTTCGATTTGCCCATTAGGGTAACGGGATGGCTGTGGGAATTTGACACAAATGATGGAGATGGCTTGGACATAGAATGTGAGTTATTTTAGAAACTGCTGCTGGTTAGAAATAAACTTATTGATGATAGCGATAGTTCCGTCAAAGCGATGTAGCAATTCGCCTCAATTGATATCGAAACTATTCCCGGCATGAAGAAACATAACCATTTGGTGTTCCAGCCAATTCAATATCTCGAATTGTGTCAGCCTATATGGAGACTGGACTATACTATCTTTTAATCGTGTCACTTTCTCCTAGCCCAGGATTCATGGGTATCTGCTTTCAACTACGGTTTCTCGTTCACCCTCTACGCGTGATAAGGAGTGTTAATGGGCAGAGAATTTGGTTTTACCTTTGATAGGTAACAGATAGTCTCGTTATACTAGAATGGTGACCATAACAGATAAGGGAAGCATTATTCTGATGACATCCATTGTCTTTTACGTATCTTGCGGCGGATATCAGAAAACATCTTCAAATTCTGCAGTAACTAGTATACTTGATGATGATGCATCACTGTGTTGACTACCTGATAGAAATATTTGTGCAAAGTACAATCTATCTGACAGAAGGCATTGACACATGAGGCTGTAGCAGTGCGGAGCTAACGGTTCAGGCTAGCGAGGCGAAACCGGCTTAGCACGAAACTAACATAGTAGTATATCCGAAAGCTTTGATCAGGATAGATAGATAACCGGCCATAAGAAGTCAGTGCCCCGCTTCCCCGCAGTATATGCTAACATGGGCCGAAACGCGGCCTTTCTCCAGCCGATGGTGCCGTGAGGAAGAAGAGGGGTTCTTTAACTCTTCCCCTCTGCAAAAGGAGGGCTCTCTCTCCGTCCGCTTCCAAACCCCCGTCTTCTGCGCTTCTCCCCATCTCAAACCAGGCCTACGACCGCAGACATCATGACTATTGCCGAAGGTGCCTCGTCTAGTGGCACCGCTCCCGCGAACCCCGAGCATGGTGGTCGCTTCGAGCTAGACGCTCTGGTAGTCGGAGGTGGCTTCTCGGGCTGCTATATGCTCCATAAGCTGCGTGATGAGCTCAACCTAAACGCGAAGCTCTTCGAAGCGGGCACCGCACTAGGCGGCACATGGCACCGCAACCGGTACCCGGGCGCTCGCGTCGACGTGGCCGTCCCAGGGTACGAGTACTCGATGGAACAGATCTGGAACGACTGGAAGTGGACGGAGAAGTACCCGGGGCAGGCAGAGCTGGAGGCCTACTTCAACCACGTCGACAAGACACTGTCTCTCAGCAAGGACTGCTACTTCAACACTGAAGTGTGCGACGCCCGGTTCGACACCGAGAGCGCGACTTGGACCATCAGCACCAAGGACGGCAAATGCGCGCGCGCGAAGTACCTCATCGTTGCGGTTGGCTTCGCTGCGAAGCAGCACGTCCCTGACTGGAAGGGCCTGGACACCTTCGCCGGTGACATCTACTACTCTGCGAACTGGCCAACGGAGCATGTCGACGTCCGCGGTAAGCGGGTCGCTGTCATTGGTACCGGGTCGACTGGTATTCAGATTATTCAGGAGTGGGCTAAAGATGCGGCCGAGACAACTGTCTTCCAGCGCACGCCGAACACCGCGCTCCCCATGTGCCAGTCGGTGCTTCCGCCGGGTGTGCAAGAAGACAGAGCCAGCCGGTTGCAGATCTTCGAAGACAACAAGATGACCAACACGGGACTGGAGATATCACCCATCCCGCAGAACACGATGGATGTGTCGCCCGAGGAGCGCCTGGCGACGTACGAGCGGCTGTACGGCGGCGGTGGGCTGTGGTTCTGGAACATAAACTACCAGGACCTGTTGGTAGACCCTGTCGCGAATCGCGAGGCGTACGATTTCTGGGCGAAGAAGACTCGGGCGAGGATAAACGATCCGCGCGCGCGTGATCTGCTGGCTCCGCTGGAACCATTGCATCCGTGGGGCGTGAAGCGGCCGTCGCTAGAGCAAAATTACTACGAGCTGTTCAACAAGCCTAATGTGCGACTTGTGAGCACCCGCGAAAGCCCTATCGTCGAGATCCGGCCCAACGGTATCGTGACAGAGGGTGGGCAGCTGTACGAGGTGGATATGATTGCCGTCGCGACGGGATTCGATACCGTGACGGGCGGGATCAAGGATGTGGGGATCAAGGACAAATATGGGTTTGACGTCGCCGACCAGTGGAATAAGCAGGGGGTGCGGACCCACCTCGGGATGATGGTCGGTGGGTGTCCGAACCTGTTCATGCCGTATAGTGCGCAGTCGCCATCTGTGTTTACGAACGGCCCGACATCGATTGAATTCCAGGTGCGGTGGATTGCTGATGTCATTCAGAAGATGCGGGAACTTGGAGTACGCGCAGTCGATGTAAGCAAAGAGTCGGAACAGGCGTGGAAAAAGGAGGTTACAGAGATTGCGAATATGACTCTGTTGCCTAAAGCCAAGTCGTGGTACATGGGTGCAAACGTTCCAGGGAAGCCGGTGGAGCCACTGTTTTATCTTGGTGGGATGCTGCTGTACCGCGAGAGGTGTCTGGAGACTTCTCGTGGGGAACTTGATGGTCTTGTTAAGATGTGAAATTATAGATATGTTGGAGGTGATTGGATCTGGCCTGTATTTTCAGGATTATTGCACTAATGCTAGTCGAATTTGGATTCCTGATGTAAAGTGTAGGCTGTATCATGGGCGATAAACATGCTTGTAAAGTGTTTTCCGTGAATACATATATCACGCGGCTCGTTGCGACGCGCAAACCCAACTTATCACGAACATTAGGGTTCTGAAAGACCAGCCGTAACCATAAGCCTTTTCTGGTACAGTCCGGTCCTCCGTCCACGATTGAACGTCTGGGATAGATCAAAATGTACCTCTGAATAACCACTTATTCGGGGAAATATAAATAAATCCGGAGCTTGCTCGATTTGGATTGTTTGGCAGCTTGGGTTTTTGGGTATCATTCAAATTTGAGAGCATGTATCGTTTTCGTAGCGCATGTCAGCGACTGCCGGATGCTTCCCCTTGTATAGATCGGCAATTGAACCAGCGGAGTGTAGAACGAAGTTGCGTGAAAGCCTTCGATATTCCACCAAAGATCATGTCAAATCACGCCACTGAAACACCCTCTAGGTTCTCGTAGTACCGGCGATCCATACCGGCCTGTGCCCTAGCCTCCATGTTGAACGGCTCCTTGATGTGACCCTTGAAGTACTTTTCGACATTACTGCGGAAGACATGCACCGGGTCCGTTTCCTCCTCCTGGCAGATCCACGTAAGCCATCGATGGCCGGTGGTAACGTGCGTGATCTCATCATTATGGATAACTTCCAGAACATCAACGCTCGGGCTGTCACCCGCCTTGCGAAACTTTTCAATAGTCATCGGGTTCACATCTAGCCCGCGAGCTTCATGAACCAGGGCAATGATCGAGATCCGCGCCCGGAGATCATGCGCAGTGGTAATCGCCGAGTCCCACAGACCGTGGTGGACAGGAAGTGCGCCAAAGTGCGAGCCCATTTCTTCAATTCGCGCACGCAGCAAAGAGAAATGCTTCGCTTCGTCGTTGGCCACCTTGAGCCAGTCGTGGTAGAAGGCTCGTGGCAGGTCTCGCGAGCTGTCCTTGGATAAGGGATCCGTCTGAAAGGTTGCAAAGCGGATGCAGATGTCGATTGCAAGGTCGATCGCCCATAATTCAATGTTGGCCAGTGCGTGGAGCATTGAAATCCTACTCTTCAGTGTGCCTCCGCGACCAGCGCGCGGCATATTCCACGGCTGGACTTCCGTCAATCCCTGCCGCGGTGGTTGCGCCGGGGCCTGAACAGTACCGCACCCAAGGGGCATGGGTGACGACGTGCCTTCCCTCTGCGAGAAGGTGGCGAACAGGTGGGCAGTCAACTCAATCTTGTGTTCTGGATGAGGCGTATTCAAAATATGAGCGCACCAGTCGCAAAGAGTGGCGGCTTCATCCAGATATTTAGCATCGCCTGCAGACTCCTGGTTGGACGGCGACAAAGGCGCTCCGGCCGTACCGTCCTTCTTCAGTCGGAACTGCTCGCTGACCGGCTCAATCGTCTTCAGAGTAACTCCCTCCGCGTTAGGACCGATAAAATGCAAGATCACCGACTCTCCACGAACGTTGACAGGGAATGTGCATGCCGTAATTCCCACGCTCGATTCTCCCGTCTCTACGTTGAAGTCGTACGCATGCCACGGACACGAGACGATGTACCCCGAGTCTTCAATGTCCACTTGAGAGTCTTGCATTGGACCGCCGGCATGAGGGCACTCGGCCTCCATTGCATAGTACGACCACCCATCGTCCGTTTCATTGTCCGCCTTACTCTTGTCTTTCGACGGCTCGATCGCCGGTAGCCGAAAGAGCACTATTCGCTTTCCAGTTGAGAGTTGAACAACATAGCGCGCTTGCGTGAAGTTCGAAAGCAAGCCCAGGTCTACCTTTGACATTTTGAAATCGGTGCAGCGCGTTGGGACTGAAGGAAAATGAAGATATTCGCACGCTGAAGTGGTAGTGGTTCGATACATGTGGAATTTTAAGCTGAGTCATACTGGATTAGTAATGATGGCGGGGCAACTATGCATTTATCATACAGTTAGTGCACTCCCAGCATAACTTTATGTTTATTTTCCCTTGAGACGCAGAAGCATCGGCTCTAAACGATAACCCTTGCAATTACTCACCTGTCATCGAGGTTTAGATGCTACTCTAAGATCACACGATATATTTCTTCAAGATGTGAGAAGACTCAATACCGAAGAATTGGTAGCTAGGCGGGAAAAAGGACGAGATCCGCGTCGGCACCTGTACACCACTACTACTT